GGCCTCAATCAGAGAGTCTCGGATGGTGTTGAAGCCTAAGCAGGAGGTCTGCCTTCTCATTGGTTGAACTGGCCACTTAGCCTAGATGCCTTTATCGTCATTGTTATTCCTGCTTTTTTGTTTACTCCTGGTTCTGTTTGTTTTGTTTTGTTGTGACACATTAGGTTGTCTGTAATTACAGAGCTGCTACTGGTTCAGTAATCTGGGAGACTTGCATGTGCTAATGCACTGCACAGTACATTTGGAAGCAGATTTGTCCATGGTTTTCAGATGGTGGGATCACATTGTCTGATCTATGATACATTGTCTATCTGTAGTTGTTAGAGTAACTGATAAGCAGAAGATTGTTCTTTTCTAAAGCATGCAGTGGTTGGATCAGAGGATGTTTGAATAGTTGTGTTTTACATATATCTTTGGACCTATTACTATGAAGCCAGTAGGTTAAAGAGTAAACTTTTCCATGGTCCAGCAGTTTCACTCTCACTCAGGAAATTCCTAATGGGGGGGCGCACGGTGTGTGTGGTGTTTTGAAGAGTGTCCGTACAGCTGGTGATTTCTAAGCCTGGCTTACGGGCATTAGAATAAAATAGGCTTATTATTTTGTATACGTTTGGGTGATTGTTTTCTTCCTCATATTCCAGGCTTATGGAAACGTATGGGGTGAAAAACAAGTAGCAAGGAATTTAAACAGAGGAATACATAGTTGCAGCCTCTTCTAAGTGCTGTTGAATATCTTACTGTATGTATCTTATGATTGTTGTCAGTGATACCCTTATATGATATCCCTTTTATGTCAGCGGTATCCCTTATATGTTTGAAGGAGAATTTAACGTCTTATAATACTGTGTCTATATTGTCAGTCCAGAAAGTGGGAATTTTATACAGAATGAGGTTATAGAGTACTAGTAGTAATGAATGGTAAAACCAAAACTGCACAGCTGTTAACCTGTTTATCTCTAAACTACCTAGACCAATTTGGAAGGGTGAGAGGAGTTTGGCCCGTTCTCTAAAACCTGTTAGTTTGCAAATAAGGAAATGAGATTTCATGCCAAGTGCTCAAGTTAGTTGGAGCCATAACTGTACTCTTTACACATATGCTGTTTTTGCATGAGTAATATAAAAGCAAGGATTGATTATGACGTAGAGATTTAAATGACTACTGTAGTGGAAAATGGTGGTATTTTAGTTCCATAAGGAATATATTGTTACAGTCGATAAGGTCAGTTATCACCGAACTTCCCAAAGGGAAAAATGTTCTTTTGACCGAGAGTTCAATGTAGTAATTAACACTGTCCCTACCAAACTTACAAATATAAGTAGATGCTAATTTAAGATGTGTCCTTGTGTAAGCTAAATTGTAGAAGTAGGTGGTGCCAGAGTGTACCGCAAAGTTTACTGAGAAAAGATTTACTTTACTTTTATGTTAAAAGGTCTTCCCTTTGAGGAATTCGAGCAGTACGTTTGCATAAGAGTTCTAAAAATTTCAGTGACTTATGAAATAAAGTGCATGCAATGCCAGGAAACATTAGCTACATAAAAAGTTCATGGCTTGGACAACATTTGCTCAACATGAAATCTAATTTCAGTAATTTTTCTGTAATGTTACATTTAGATAAGGCTTTTGTTCTTCGTTTTTACAGAAATTATGTTAAAGATGTCTTTTGAAGTACGTCTAAGAATTAATGGATTACTGTACAAGAAACAACCATGAAGACCAAAGCATGTGTAGGAATTCAAAGGGTGACAGGAATGACTTTAGTAAGGTGCACTTAGTAGGGCAAAATTGGTTGCCATCTTAATTTTTTCAACTGAAATTACCTAGCTTTACATTTGCTACTTCACTATATATTCAAACATTTTTATCAACTTTTATTGACTATATGAAATTCCCCCAATTTTTACTAGCTTTCAGAAATTTCCTTAACTTTAGAAACAGTTGAAGTAACTAAGTAGCTGAGATAAAACTTCATTTTTTTTTTTAATGTGTGCGTGAAGCTGTGCTGGTAAAATTATGGATTTTCAGAAATTAGCACGTTTCTCCTGACTATTCAGTCATAAAATGAAGTCCAAATACAAATATGTATTAAGCCAATGTAATGGGTTCTTTCTGGTTTGGCATGCATTAAAATTTCAATTTTGTTTTGTACATGCTGATGTAACAGTTTTTGCCTGGCTCTGTACAGTAGTAGACACAGATGGCTTGAGGAGATGCTTTTAATTACAGTTGCTCCTTGAACAACTTGGGTTTGAACTGTGTGGTTCCATTTACACACAGATTACTTTTTCAATAAATATAATACAGTGCTGCAAGTGTATTTGCTTTAGATTTTCTTAACATTTTCTTGAGCTTTAAGAATACAGAATATACATATAACAACAAAATATGTGTTGATTGATTTTGCATTATTGGTAAGAGTTCTGTAACAGGCTAGTTAAGTTTTGGGGGATTCCAAAGTTAAACAGGGAATTTTGACTGGGGTGGTGGGAGTTCTTACTCTTTCCCTAGCTCATTCATGGGTTAACAGAACTGAACTTGACCATCTCAACAGTAGTGGAACATTTATCATCTTGAAGTTGTTACTGTTGATTTTTTACCTAGTCTTTATAGATAAATGAATCTTTATTTGCTGAAAGTAAATTCGTGAATATTCACGCTCAAGTTATACAGTAGGAATCTTGGTGTGGGGTTTTATTTTTTTGATCAGATACACAGTTTGTTTAAAAGAGAGGCCGTTTTTACATGTACATTTACATTTTCCCCAAGGCAAAATTCTTTTTGGGTGTGTGAATATCTGATTTACTAAAAATGGAAGCCGGGGTTATTTTCAGACAATGCAAATTTCCTTTATTTCCTCTAGTTTACTTGGAGAGAGGATGTAGGAGCTAAGAGGTCACAACTTAAACTTCACAAAATAAGTTTACCAACTATGAAACCTAGTACTGAGATACTCAGTTTTAGTTCTTGTAGGACATTATTAAGCTACCCTTACATTTCAAACGAATTCCTTAAATGTTTAGGCTTACTAAAAACCACTCCTTTTTTACCCTTGTGAGAAAGTTATAAATAATAGTACCTGCCCCTTCCTGGTGTTTTAGTCCTCAAGGGAATCTGGCCATGACTTCAAATCGGTTTGCAATCTTTGAGCCTTTCTTAAAAATTTTCTCACGTTGGAGGCTTTTTAAAATAGCAATTCGGGAAAATTAAGTTGTTTTCTTCTCAAAGGTTTACCTGGAATAATATGAATAATGTATTCAGTACTCCCGTGCCTTAGTATTTTCCAGCGTGCTAGCAAACTAGTCCTAACAAAATGTCAACACTCCCGTTGAAATGTACATTAGCTTATGTTTAATATTTCCAAAAAGGAATACTTAATAAGATGTAAAAATCTGGAAACGTTATAAAGAAGAGTGAGAGAAACACTGGTATCTAAATGAGATGTTTTACAATGTATATTCTTTAATTTAGCTTAGTAGATAATTTAGCTAAAGAAATACAATTTGTAGGAATGCCGTCTGCTTCGTTGCGTTCGAAACATTAAATCCTGGAGTAGACCGGATTTTTTAAGCATGTTGTGGGTATACGCTATTTTTTTTCCCCCCGCAAAACTGAATTGTACATTAGTACTCTGCCTTACTGCCGCCGAATTCTCCGTGCTGCTGGTGAGTTTGGGAGCTTCTGCTCTGGACTTTCTGTGCGGTTGTGTTCCTGGGTTTCTGGTTGCGGGTGGGCGGGCCTCGGCGCGCTCGCGCGCAGGGAGGTCAGGCCGGCCGCTAGTGGGCGCTGTGGGTCCGTGGAAGCCGTCGAAGCGGTGGCGCTCGTCCAAGGCGTTCTTTTGGGCAAGCACTTGCCGAGAACCAGAGTGAGGAATTCCTGCCACCTCTCCACTTGGGCGCTATTTGTCACCGTCACCCCTCAACTCCCGGTCACCTTGGGATGGCGTGAGTGTGTCCCAGAGAAAGTCCCGCGGCGGGCGCGGGTGTGCCAGCGACACTCGCGGGGGATGCCTGGAAGTGCCGCCTTCCCGGGGAGCGAGGAGCGGAGGGTGCGGGGCCGGGACGGCTGCGCCCCATTGTCGGCAGCCACGTCGCCGGGAGTCGTCTCGCATCTTAAGGCCCCATTGACTTTGGTCGGGCCCCAGCTGAGGTTAGGAACCGAAATCAGGTGTGGAACTCATCGCCCCGAGGCCTACGAGGGGCAGCGAAGGGATGCGCGTGCGGGGGTGTGAGCCCGGCTTGCAACGGAGACGCTCCGCCGAGAGGAGGAAGACCCGCGGGAAACCCACGGCCTTCCGCTCCGCAGGGAAAGTTTCGCCCTCGACGTCCCTCCGAAGTTAGAACACTAGCCGGGCAATGCCGGCGCGTGCTGGGCGCGGGGACAGGTGGCCCCCGCTGCTCCCGCTCCCCTCCCGGACGTCCCTGTGCCCCCGCCCCGCCGCTGGAGGGGCGCCGGTGCACGCGCTGGCCACCCCCTCCCCTCTTTGGCTGTCCAGGCTGAGCTCCCTTTGCGCCACCGCCCGGGGCCGGGGGCGGGGCTCACCTGTCAGCCGGCGCCCCGCCTCGCGGCGCCCAATGTCGGGCGGGGGCGGATGACGGACGGGCCGGCCGCCCAACCGGAGCGCGGCTGCTGGGCGGCGGGCCAATAGGCTGCGCGGTGCGGGGCGGGGCCCCGCGTTTATAGTGCTCTGACAGCGGGCCGGTCGCGCTGACTCTCCTCGGCGGGGACGGCGACGCCGGCCGGAGCTGGGAGCTGCGCGCAGAGAGGGTCCCGGCGCCCTCCCCGCACACAAAGGCCCGTGCGCGTCCGGCGCCCGTGGCGGGGACCGAGCCCCTCCTGCCTGCTCCGCGGGCCGGGAGCTGCGAAGATAGAGGAGGGTCCCGCGCGCCTGGAGGCGCCCCTCGCCGCTCCGCTCCCCGCGCCCCGGGACATGGAACCGCGCCGACGCTGCGCCCGCGCGCTCGGGCCGCTGCCCGCCCCCCTGGATCTATAGTGCGAGGCGGTCCGCTCGGAGCGCAGCGTCCGCCGCCCGCGCGAGTCGTCTTTCTGCCTTTGTGTCCCGGCCGCGCGCCCTCCCTGCAGCCCGCGCCCGGCACCCTGGAGCCGCACGGGAGCCTGCCGTCAGAGCTGCGTCCGGCGCGGCGCCCCGGAGCCCCGAGCCCGCCGCGCCGCCGCGCCCTGCGCGTGCGCTCCCGCCCCGCGCCCTGAGGGCTCCGAGTGGAGCGCCCCCGACTTCGACGCCGGCTGGAGCCGCTCGGCGCGCCCCGGAGCTGCCTGCGGTCTCCCCCTTGTCTGCCCGGAGGATTGGGGCTCCGGCCCGCGCCCAGTCCCTCCGTCGTCCGGAGCGTGCGGAGCTGGGAGCGGCTTGGCCATGGCCGCCAGGAGGGACTCCGTGTGGAAGTACTGCTGGGGAGTTTTGATGGTTTTATGCAGAACTGCGATTTCCAGGTCGATAGTTTTAGAGCCCATCTATTGGAATTCCTCGAACTCCAAGTAAGTGGCGTCCGCGATCCCTCTCGGTCCCCGCCTGGGGTCCGCCGCGTCGCGCCGTCCGGGCGGGAGGAAGGGCTGGGCCGCGGCGCCTCGGATTCTGTTTCTGGAACCCCCGTTCCCCTCACCCCAAGTTCCCTGTCCCCAACCCTCGCCACATTTTACTTGATGGAACTCTTCCCTCGGCTTTCCAGCCGGAGCGCCGGTTCTAAGGGGCGCTCTCCCCGCTTTCCTTTCCCCATGAGCTCCCGGGCGCTAAAAAAACAAAAACAAAACAAAACAAAAAAAAAACCTAGCGGCTCGGGTGTCACGTTCGGGAAAGTGTCCGATGGCGATACCTGACCCCTACTTCTTTTCGAGGACGGAGAACATGGCCACAAACAAGGCTGGCCGGCGCGCAGGCGCTGGCGGGCCGCGGAGGGAGGCAGGGATGCTGCGCTCTCGAGGAGCGCCGGAGCGCGGTCCGATCCCTGCGGGCCGGCCGGGGCTGTGAGCCCGGGGCAGAGGAGCGCACCCGGGGAAGGGAGCCTGCGGTCTCCGGCCGCTCGCAGCGCCCCAGAGCCCGCGCGCCTCCGCGCCGCCTGCCCGAGTGTGCGCGGGGAGCTCGCCAGCTTCGCCAGAGAACTCGGGCGGCGAGCCCTCTCCTCCCAGCCGGGGTGACCGGCCTTAGGTTTCTCCCGGAGAGACCTTTGCACGTCGTCTCCCCCTTTCGTTTCTAAACCTGTGGCCCCGAACTCTGCGGTCCTGATAGCTGACTTGATTTTAAGGACGCTTTCTTCAAAAGATTAAGTCCCTGCCCAGTCAATACAGCTCCTGGAGCCTGGGCAGGAATGGGATCCTTGAATCTGACTTGTTTTTACCAAACAGTGTAGCCAGGAGAAAGCCAGGCCTTGTGGAGATTAACTTTCAGCGTGAGCTACCAAAATAGAATGCACTGAGAATTTAGAAAAGGCGACTCATCCCTGAGCATGTATGGCCATGACGCCTCATTACTTACCTATGCATTCAGTTTTGCATCTTAGCTCCTTCTTGTAACACATTTCTAGTCATATCCAAAAATATTTTACAGAATCATGGAATTTTAGCCTTGAGAAACTTGGAAAAAGTGTGGAGACCTTGGCTGGCTCCAGGAGTAAGCGTTTGAGATCAGAAGGAAAACCAGTGGCCTAACTGAAGACAAGCAAGTTGGCCATGGATTTAGGAATACAGAGGCGGGGAATTGATTTACAGATCACATTTTAATTAAAGAATTATATCCATTCTTTTAAAAGTGGCAAATTTCAAATTCACCAACATGTTTTACCAAGAATTTCTCATGATAAGGGCGAGAAACATCACAGCCGTAAATCGGATTAAACACATTCTTGCATGATGCCGGATGGCACTTTCCAACACGGCTCGCATTTTTAAAAGTTACTTAATGCAGCCTTCTTCCGTGCAGCCCGGTCTTGTATGGACCACTCTTTTTCCTCGATGTAAGATTTGTGTTTGCCGAGAAAGTAGTTGCAGTGACAGCCTTACACGGTGGGTGGGGAATGGTGGGGCACCAGGCGGTGCGGGAAAACGCCGGGCTTGGACCTGCGTGCGGCCGCGGGCGGACCGGCTAGGCGGGCCGGGAGCCCAGGCTGGGCGGGCCGGGAAAAGGCCAGCCAGTGCTCGCTTTGCGCCTACAGAGGTCACTCTTCCACGCGCAATGCTCGCGGCGCCAGTCCTCACCTCTCCCCCTGGGCTGTCGGCTCCGCTCCACTTCACACTTTCGCCGACGGATTGTTTGGGGAGGCTGATTCCCGCCTCCCCCTCGCCCCCCCCGCCCCGGTTTAATATTTACGTTTGCATTTTGTTTGAAGACATTCCCATTAATTCATCCATTGGCCAACTCAGCATGTGCAACTCAGTGCTAACCGCTTATGACTTGGTGTGTGATCAGGAGAAAGGTTAGAAACACCTACTCGGAAGAAGAGGTACAGCAGTAACTGTTCCCGCCACAGACATTAATATCCTCTTTTCCTAATGTATTTGCGGTGGGGGGAGGTGACTGCTGTTTTACTCACGGTCCTGATGAGGAGGGTTCCTCGGTTTTTCTCTGCTGCCGCCGCAGACTCACAGACCTGCTGGAGGCCTGCATTTTGGAGAAGCCTGCCTGCACAGATGAGGTTTCTGTTGTCATGATTGCTCCCGTCCTCAAGAGTAGAATTTCTTTTAAAATTCTCATGATAATGGCGTGCCTGGAGGAGGGGATAATTTGCCCCTGGAAAAGGTCTACTTAAAAAAAGTATGCAGCTGAAGGCTAGGCTAGCTTGAGACATCAGGAAGATTTCTTCCTGGAGGAGTGATATGAAAGAGCCTTTTCTAAGTTGGAGAATGAATAAAAACCCCTAGTGCCAAGGGCTTGTTTTCTTGGGGGAAGTTGCATATTTATTTCCAGGGAAAAGTTTCAATCCACGAATATGATGTGGCAGGAAGGTGATCAGAGCAACTGAGGTTTCACACCAGTTCATCCGAACTGTGGAACAATTCATCTGTGATGAAGCCGCCATGAGTAATTAGGTTTGTTTCATTCCGAGGTCAGCTTTTTTAGCAGGTGGTCGACGGTAGGGAGCAGGAGCAGCTGTTTGGACGCAGGGTCCAGAAAATCCTTTGTAAATTCTCCGTCTCCATAACTACTTTAATCACACTGTCTGATGCTCCCATCCCTGAGAGTCTATGCAGCCATCAAAAGAAGTTCTGTGTCTGAAACGTTATCAACTACCCTGCCAGGTGGATTACTCCCCTGCAGCCACGGGCTCCGGCAGTGTGGCCTCAGTTGTGGTCCTCAGTTGTGGTCCGTTAGGTTGTTGAACCCCCCCCCCTTTTTTTCCCCTCTCCCCTTTCAACTCGGCAGAGAATAGCAAAGCCTGGCTTTCATTTCCAATTAACTGACGTAGAACGATTTTTCCAGGCACAATGAATAGTTGCCTCTTCTAAAAAAATACCCACTTTCGAGTGAGCAAGGCTGTGTTGATATGGTACTCTGTAATGAATTACACTGACTTTGTCAGAAATTTCAGCCGAGCAGTAATTCCTTCTGTCTGGGGTACTGTTCCCTTTGCACCATAAACTAGTTAGTTAACAAAGCATTTTTCTTTTCCCAGATCATTTTTTCCCTGCCTAATACTGAATTCCTGATATTGATTGACTTGATACAAAAGAATGGCTGGATAAAATCCAGATAACCTATAATACGTGGGCCCCACCACAGTCAGGCTCTGAATAAATATGGACCTGTCAGAGATTGATAAAATAAACTACAATGGATAGTGCTGTTTGAACAGTCCATTCAATACCATATATAAGCCAGCCTGCCTTCCATTGTGTCTGAAATTCTTATTTTTGTAGGTAAACAAATGCACATTCAACACTGATTGAATAGCCCCTTGAACTATGCTCCACAGTTTGCGTTTGGGTTAATCTTGTCGGTTTTAATATAGAGAGAAAAAAGCACAAAGCACGGGGGGTGGAATTGTTAGTCCTTTCCCATCCACATTCCTCACATTTTGTCAGGATGATAAACTAGAGGTAATGGACTGTCGTTCCACAGGACAACCGAGCCAGGGAGAACACAAAGACGGAGCCGAAGTGATAGCTCACAACATGCTTGGTCGCCTTCTTTTCAGGCGAGAAGAGAATTTATTTGGGAATCGTGCGTCTAGGGACTGCACTTTTTAACCTCGGCAATTATAGCTTCAAGCCTCAGAAACGGGAGCTGGAGGTTAAGATGATTTGTTAAGCACTTGGTTCTAAATCTTTCACAAAGCGTAGCTGTTGACACTTGTCCTACGGATGTAAAGAAATGCAAATGACTGCAAATTTCCTGAACAGTTTCTGACTCTCCCAGGCCAAAGTAGAAGGACAGGTGAATTAACCATCAACCCCGGACCAGCTAAAAACTGCAGACTGGAATGGCCTCTCCAGATGGAGTGAGCCGCGGCACAGTCAGTATATTTGGATTACTTATTGTAAAACCTCTTGTCTGTAAATTTCCTAAGGGAAATCCTTTGGTTGGTGGATCAGTGTGGTAATTATCCTCGGAGGGACTTTGCAGTTGGAGCAACTAAACCCGTGGTACCTTGCCTTCCTCTGAAGTGCTCTGGGTAGCTCCCAAGAGGTTGAGAGTGACATCTACCTTAGTGTGATGTTTCCCAGAGCGCTTGCCTAATGGGAGACGGTCTGAGATCCCAGCATGACTGCAGTGATGCGTCATAGGAATGGGAGTGGCAGGGAAAGGAAATATGCACTAGACCCTCAGCAAAAAGGACATTTTTTTCTTTCTTTCTTTCTTTTTTTTTTTAGAAAGGTGATTTTACGAAAACTTTATTCTTAAACTGTTCCATCCCAAAGTAGACAAAAAGCAGCACTCTTGTAAGGAAAATAATGATGAAAATGGTACTCCAGTCTGCCCAGCCTCTGCTTTCCTTAGCTGCTGACATAAAGAGCCTGTTTTTCAGGTCACTTATCATTCATCTACATAGATTTGCTTATGAGCTCAGCCTTTGTGTAGCGGAGTAGAGCTTTAAATAGGAGTGTTCAACTGTTTAAAATATTTTGATTAAAATATGCAGAACCCATAGAACTATAAGCTTCTAGTCAGGAATTAGGTCTTTCAGGGAAGAGCTCTCCCCCCCCCACCACCTTTTTTTTTTTTTTTTTTTATAAGGGGTGGGATTAGAGTGGGGCTGGGAGAGGGATGTAAGAAAAGCAAAGAAGGAAGGATGGCAAATGGGACAGTGTTCGAACAGCTTGGAAAAACTCCTGTGGCTTCATTGTCTCTGTAAAGCCAAAGAATACAAAGACATAAGCAACTCAGCCCTTCTCCTATGATGGAAAATGTAAACCGTTGACATGGCCCCCTGTTTAACTTGTTTAATTCTTGTTTTAAATTCAGTGCTACGCTAGCCGTGTGAACTCTGAAGATTTCTTTAGTAATCCATTTTGTAGTTCCGAATCAAAAACAAAGTGAAAGGGTC